GTTGATCCACTATCAGAAGGCATTCAGTATGTATGGCGTCAGAGACAGAGATTATTTATTTCTCTGAAAAGCGCAGCAGCATCAGACATCCATATGTCTGAATGTTATGTTGCCTTGTTTAATCAAATGCTTTATTTTAGAGATTATGCAGTGCAATGACTTACCTGCATAGTTTTCACCTCTCATCCTAGAAAATATAAATGCTTTGGACAATATATTAATGTTTTCCATGTGACAAGGTGGTTTTCGAACAACTTTTTTCATATTGTCATTAGTATTTTAGTTGTATCATTAGTAGTAGTATTTTATATTTATTTATTTTACATTTTGGGCATAGAAATAGACTACAATAATAGACAGCCATGGGGAAACACATTCAAATAATGTTGCAGCAGTCTCTATGAACAGTTATATAAAAGATGTCGAAACATATGAGAACATTTTTATAGATTATATTATATATGTATCAGATGGTCTGTTAATGCTGCTAAAGAAATGGGGATGCAAGCTGAAGAGTTTAGTTTTCTGTTAATCTCTTCCCCCTTAAGGATAATTCCTCATAGATTCTGAGAAGAAACGTTTTCATGAAGTTCTTATTAATTAGTTGGTTTGTAGTGAAAAAGAAATAAAACCTGAAGGAAACAACAGTCAGTTGCAGTTACCAAAATCCAGAATGAAGCATCTTAGAGCTTATGTGTGGTTCTTAAGATTGCTGTTAAAAGCTTTTTGCAGGACGTCCTGGACATTGAGGTGTGTGGTGGTGATTTGCCTGTGTGTACATGCTTTTTATAGTTTTGGCAGTTGCCAGAATGAAACTAAAGAAATCAACGAGCTTCAGATCAGACTGAACTGACGTGATAGACCAGGGCTGCCCAAACTCGGTCCTGGAGGGCCGGTGTCCTGCAGAGTTTAGCTCCAACTTGCCTCAACACACCTGCCTTTAAGTTTCTAGTATGGCTAGTAAGAGCTTGATTAGCTGGTTCAGGTGTGTTTAATTGGGGTTGGAGCTAAACTCTTCAAGTCACCGGCCCTCCAGGACTGAGTTTGGACACCCCTGTGATAGACCATCTGAAGTGCCTTTTGCTATCAGGATTAACATCAAAACAGTAAATTATAGATTTTAGTATGGCTGTTTGTCTAAAAGGGCATATAAATATGACTTTAAAATGACATCTTCCCTAATTTTTAAAGATGCTCAGACAGTTTTTATTTTTATTTTACGGCACTTTTTAGTGTGATTTGCAAGCTTTTTCCTCACGATTAGTGCATAATTAGATGCATATGTATTGTTGCGAGCTTGTCTAAATTCATTAACTTCATTAAATCATTAACTTTTGTCCACTAGGATTAAAAAAATCCCTCATATTTTTAAGACAAAAGCAAAGATATGAGGACCCCATAGGTCACCATAAGTCATACAAATGTTGTGACTGAGCAGTGGTTTTCAGATCAGGGGTAAGCGGAGCTTCTCCAGTGCTAGTGTGTCTGGTTGCTAGGTAACAGTTAATGTAGACCAAAAATGGCTCTCATTTGTGTCTGTGATCGTCTAGATATTGCATTGTAGGATTTGAAAGCCAAGGGTTGTTGTTTTGTTGGTGTTTAATTTCTCTAACGCAAATCAAAATGCTAATACGGGGATTCCAGTATTAGTTAGTAACATTAGTGGCTGTTGTGCATTGTTTATGACACTTTTTTGTACCCAATCAGAATACATTTGCGCACATGAAGGTGTCTATGTTAGTGTCTGCATTTTGGGCGTGTGTATATGAGTTTAAGATAAAGAAAATAAATGAGAGAAGCTTCAGCGGTAGAGATTTACTTTTGTTATGTCGTCACATGACGATATGATTTTGCAATTATGTAGTCGCAATATATTTTATAGCAAAACACTGTCAAAAATGACAAACTGAATGATAAAAAAATAAAACGGATGTCTGAGGGATCCTGTTGTGTTGGGAAATGGATGTTGCTTATCCCTGTCCTACTGCTGGATAACAGAGAGAGAGAGAGAGAGAGAGAGAGAGAGAGAGAGAGAGGGAGCAGGATAAGCCAGAAGGGTCATAGGATAAGAGGTCTTCTCTGTTACCTTAAATCCCAGATTACATCCAAACGGGACAATGCCATGGCTGGACACTGATCTGTCATAAGGACACGCCCACCCACTCACAGAGGTCTGTAACTCATCTGGTTTGTCTGTGTACTAAAGCATGCAGACTTTATTTAACTGAATCCCTCATTCGTTTGCTATTATCTGGGCCAGTGGAGTATTAGCAAGCCACTCCAGCTCTTCCAGACATGATATCTTAATTAGAACGTAAATCCCTGGCCTATAGGAGTCATCCAGCGTTCGGCCTCAACCAGCTGAGAGGACAACAAAGCGGATGGCATTTCTCTAATGTGTGTGCGTGCATTCTGTCTAAAACAAACCACTGTTTGACAGTGAGAACATGGTTTCAAAAGGCCTCTAGTATGCAGAATGGTGTCAGTAATAACATACACCTTGTTATTTATTCCTGTGATGGCAAAGCTGAATTTTCAGTAGCCATTACTTCAGTCCTCAGTGATCCTTCAGAAATAATTGTAATATTCTGATTTGGGGCTCAAGAAACATTTTTAATTATTTACTCTAAATAGATTATTTTTAAAACAATGTAAATGTCTTTACTGTCACCTTGCTGAATAAAATGTATTTTAAAACATTACTGAAATGGTTGTGCTGCTTAATATTTTTGTGGAAACTATGATACATTTCTTCAGGATTCTTTGATGAATAGAAAGTTCAAAAGAACAACATTTATTTGAAATTGAAATCTTTTCTAACATTATAAATGTCTTTACAGTCACTTTAGATCAACTGAATGCATTCTTGCTTAATAAAAGTATTCTTTTTTTTAATCTTACTGACCCCAAACTTTTGAACAGATGTTTTTGAATCCAATAGAGGTCTCCCTTCAGAGCTGATGCACCTTGAATGAGGAACAGAGTTTCACTCTATGCTGCAATGGGCTCTAACAGCCTCCGCCTGCTTAAGATATAGTTTAAAAAACAATAATCTCTTGCCATTGTTAAAATGTATCAATTAAAATCCATAACACAGACAATGATGCATTATGTGCAATGCTTGAAAATAAGCAAATTATGGTTATAGCTATTAATTATGCCACTTTAAAAATGAAAAGATGCTAAAAGTATATATGCGGTTGCCCAGACTGCCACACTAACATGTTGCTTATTCAAGTAACTTCACTATATATATATAT